GATCACGTGGAGCAGTCTAATGAGCATTTCTGAAATGGCAGATACCACAGAACAAAGTCTTTTTCTTTCTCTACCCCCACCACACCGTTATTTTGAAAAAAACAAAAGGCAGCAGTCTGTGTGTGAATGATCAGGCATGTACTGTATTACACAGAATTTACTGAACAGTGAAGTAGTTACTAAATTTTACTGAGTTTACTACATTACTAGTTACTAAGGTTCTTGATAAATGACTGACAGACTTTGAAAACCGGGCATCACTGGATCACGTTCAACTATTTTGTTGAATTAACATTAACTAAAAAGGTTTTTAAATTGGATTTTGAATAAATGTGCAATTAATTGTTACAGTGTTGAATTTTACTGTTACTATCTTCCTTCTGTCGTGCAAACCACCCAGTCACATGACCCCCAGCCATGCCCACCAAGCCATGTCCACAGAACCGGTAGTAAAGAATTTGAATTCCATCACTTGGTGGGGGGCACTGAAGATCAGTCTGTTAAAAAGGTTAGAATAAGATGCTTCCCTATTTCATTTCAAGCCAGAAAAAAATAAGTGTGAAACACACATATAAAATTGAACCAGCTTGGCTTCAACAGTTTATTAAAATAGCATATATTAAATGTGCAATGTGAGCAGAATATGATCTATAGAGATTGACTATTTAAATTCCCTGAAAAACAGAGTACTTAGGGACCTGCTTCTAAGCAAACTTTTGGAATAATTAAAAGCTTTTAAGTAAGTTTATACTAACAAAAAAATATTTCTATATAAAACAAGAATTAAGCTTGGTCCCTATTTTTAAATAATAAATTCATGCTAATATTATAGTTTGAGAAACTAGATGAGAACCCAAATCATCCACTTTTAGCCACGGAAACTGAGCAAGTGATATTGGGCCAGTTACTCTCCAGCCTTTGCAAGGTAGTTGTTTTGGGGACTAATTAGAGGAGCGTGTGATTAGGTATTCTGCTCTGAGTTTCTGAAAGAAATGTGGGATTAATTTAAAAAATGCATAAAAATAAATTACAGACTACAGACCTGTAACATTTTATGACATAATGAACTGATCTAAACATTCCTAAAGTCTTCCTTCCTACCTCCCCAACTCATCTAAGGCAACTCTGGGTGGCTTACAACATTAAAATTTTACAACCCATAAATCCCTCTCCATTCCCAGCAGTATCAATCACACAATCACATAGCCACCTTGACTGTATTGACCTGGGGCTAATTTCCAGAAAAATTAAAGTAACAGCCAATCTTATATTGAGGAAAATGGGAGAGAGACATCATAGAGAAGGCCCTTTTTCCTGTCTCACTAGATATAACTTTCCTAATAGTTGGGAACCCCAATATAGTTGTTGATGGGCTGGGTAGATGTAGCTGAGGAAGCAGTCCTACCAATAACCTGGCCCTCGTTAAAGGTGACAACCAGCACCATGAATTGTACCCAGAAGAAAATAAGTAACCAATGTAGTTCCCATGAAAGATGTGACAAATGTGTAAGTCTTGACTTGTGCCAACATATACAGGTCGTTGCATTTTGAACCAATCAGAGTTTCCATAGACTCTTCAAGGGCAGCTCCATATAAGAGCACATTACAGTAGCCCAAACTGGAGATGATGAGAGCATGGGTGAAGAGGACACATTGGTCCAGGAATTGGCATAACTGGGGCACAATTTGCAGTTACAGAAGGAGCTCCTCACCATGACTGCCACCTGCTCCTTGAGATTTCTAATGTTAAGTAGCACAAACCTGCATGAGTAGCAATCCCACGATGAATGCACTACCTTGGCAGTACCCAACCTCACGGTCTACTAGAGAATAAGCCTGAAAGATAAGAATTTTAAGGCAGAAAAAATTTACAGCTCACAATTTAGCCATTAATTTACCTGAATAAGCTAAAACAAGATGTACAGAAACATATTTTAAAATATCCATAGATTTTTTTGATGTCATGAAGTTTAGTCAATGTATTATTGAATAAGGCTTCATGAATCACAGTTCTTTTTATAAGATGTATAAACTTAGCCATATAATTTTTCTCACCATGACAACTTTTCAGATATTAACTATGGGAAAGTAATGAATCTGGAACTTGATTATCTTGGAAATTTGATATAATATGAAGACAGATGAGTGGCGATATGGTAGGGAGGAATTAAGATCAATATTTTAGAAAACAAAATAATAACAAATGCAAAATATTGTGGAATTAAGTAGCAGGTTTAATTGAAAAAAGTGCCACATATATTAACCAAGGGATGCATTTCAGGCAATTCTTGGGGAATTTAAGAATGTATGTGTTCTTTGAATCTGAGACACTCTGAGAAATTATGCAATACAAAGTAGCTGTTTCTGTACATTCGAATCAGTCTTGCCTTCTGTTGACCACATGAATAGGATGTATAAGGAACAAGACTACATTGTCAAAATTGTAATAAAAGATGAAAAAGTTTAAAAATGTTTTGATTTTATAGGGTTTAACAGCAATTAGTTTCTCAACTTGAATTTATTTTTCTTAAGTCTTTATCGTGCCCTTTGTTATTGAGTCTCAGGATGTTTCCCATTTCATTCTTGAAATCTAAGATATATCCAAAAGAAGAGAATATCTGTGGTTCAGGGTTGAACTGTTGCATGTTTGGTGCTCTCTGAGCTTGGTTGTTTTCTTGCAGACATTTCATTTTCAGACTAGATAATATCATCAGTCCTAGAAGGGAATAGAGTTTGCTCTCATTTTATATACTAGAGGCCTGCCCTGTCAGTGTTGGTGGAGTGAGCTTGATGGTTCCTTGATTGGGCTGCTTACTGTTAGCTTGTTCTGACAGTTCCTTGATTGTGTTACTGTTTGTTTGTTTCTTGATTGTTGGTCTAATCTTAATCTTGGAGTTAATCTCTGCTCATCTGGGTGTTATTGCTGCTAAGCAGGTGTTTTGATCTTTTTATTTCCTTTTTGGCTGTTCGATTGTCTCTTTTGAATGGTATGTAGATGTTGTTTATGTCTATATTCCTGTTGATGGCCAATTTGTCTAAGTGCCAGGCTTCCACTATAATTCAAAAAACCACTTTTTAAATGGAACTAACAGTAATGATGATAAATACAGAATGTGATATCTTAATTTTCTTGTACATGTTCCACTGCTCTAATTACAGACACATTTCTATAATAGCAATAACATTTACAGTTATTTACCACCCACACAGTGCTTTATAGCACTCTCTGGTGGTTTATAATGTCAGCATATTGATCCCAATAATCTAGGCCCTCATTTTATGGACCTTGGAAGGACAGAAGGCTGAGTCAACCTTGAACCCCATCAGGATAGAATTCCAGGCTGTGGGCAAAGTTTGCCTGCAATACTGCATTCTAACCACTGAGCCATTAGGATTCTTATAAAATTCTGGGAACCCTTTATGGAATTTTGCTGACACCAGGACTGGAATGTTAACAATTTGTGGATTTTCATATGTATAAGGGATGGTTTCTAGGAAGATGAGAAATTTGCATGTATCTTATAGGGGATGAAGAATTACTAAATTTGTATTGTGATGAATATCAGAAGTCATTTCTTTTCCTCTTTTCTTCTTCTCCCCTCTTTTCTTTTCTATGCTTTCTTTTCCTTTCTGAGTTTAGTTTATATTGTCTTTTGTTTTTTAAAAAACCTTTTAGTACTATTGTATATCATTTAAAAAAATAAAGACTCCTCTCTTCCAAGTATATATTTATTACGTAAAAAGTATTTCCAAGTCTATCAATATTGATTTAGCACAAAAACCCTACAATAGTACTATTGCTCATGAGAGGCAATGATAAAGAGAAGAGCAAAAGAAAAAATACCTGGCAATACAGGAGACTGTAAATATTGATAGATAGATTGGATATATGCCTATATTAGTCACAACAAAGAAGGAAAACTCTGGATGTTCTAAATAACTGTAATCAAAGGGGAGGTGACTTAATCCTCCATGGTACCTAACACCAATTATACAGTGTGAATGTTGTTGAACCACATAGAATTAGTTATACACTGAGGTGTAAATGAAATATTGCTATGAAAATTCAAGAATCACATGGGAGAAAGGGAATTGTTAAAAAGGAAACAGAGACCATACAGAGAGTTTTACTAAAACAAATAGGACAGTTTGTGTGTATGTGTCTCCCACCACAGAAGGCCAATGGATGATTTTGGGCCACCTGCACTCTTAGTCCAGACTACCTCGCAGATCTGTTACGAAAAATCAGAGAAGAGTGAGCTATTTCATCTATAGAAACTAATCAACTCACTAATTATGTAATTGTGAATATATATAAAACCAAAATGAAATGGGAGAGTGATAGGCCTTCAGTAATTTTCATCAGACTTATTACTTTAAAAAGAAGCCAAGGACACACTGAGAGAGGGTTCTGGGAATTTAAATTCCAGGACTCATGGAGGGCCCTACTTTTGAAAAGACTAACTTTATAATATGTTAGAGGCTGCAAAAGAAATATCAAATAGACGAATCTGCCTCATTTGTAGCTATTATACAACAATTCATTTTCTAAATCAATCTCTGCATCTGATCCTCGCTGGATATACAATCTTACAAGGAAAAATAATTTATTAGAATAAGACTATTTTTCCAATTAAATTCCAATACAACTAACATGCAAAGCAGTTTTAGTATGATCTGCAAGGATAATTATCGATCTAGAAATACATTATAAACATCAATCAAGGATGTTTAAAGCAATCACCTGTTTGATTTTAAGTTGAGATGTGATGTTAATTTCACAAAATAGACCTCTATTCCATATAAAGTGTACGTATCCTGTTTCCTGGAAAATAATACCTCCCCGGATAATAAGTCCAATTGGGCTTTTGAGCACATGCGCTAAAATAAGCCCTCCCCCCCAAATATTGCAACACAGCAGCAGCCATTAGGTGACCACACTCGCTACCTCCTGCACCTCAAAACTAATTAGACCTCCCCGAAAATAAGGCCAGTGCTTATTTCAGGGGGTCAAAAGAAAATAAGACACTGTTAAGGAAACACAGTAATTCTGACAAAAAAAGGTATTGTCTTAAACTTGCCTTCATAACATTGAAGAGAACCTCCTGGCCCAGACTGTCTTGTCCCTTGAAGAACTCATGTTCAGGGTATGTTCTAGCAATGTCTCTTCTGATTAACTTTTCACAAGGAGAAGACATTTTCAGCAACTCTGAATATTGATTCTTCACTGGCATGTCTGTGGCACTGCACAAAAGCTGCCAAACAATTGCTCGGAAATGGTGAGGGATTCCTTTCCTTATGAGTTCCTAAGCAATGGAGAAAAAAAAAGATTAAAAGATACTCTAAGTGATATCACACAAAGCTGGTTCACACTTCATGTATTTTCCATATTTCTATAAAGGGATATGGTCAATTTAAAACCCCTATCATAAACTAAGAAGAATCCTGGGTATAATGCTGTCACTGCATCCAAAATTACAACACATCAAGAAGTTATCTTAATGAAGAGTCTCTAAATTAAGGTCTTCATACTTATCCTGAGGTTCTTCTGGAATATCTGAATCCATAAAATAAACATTCAATACCTTAGCCAGCTGGGTTTTAGAAAACAATTTCTTTTTCCTCTAGTTCCTACCCTCAACTTTACAAAGTTCTTGCATCACCATTTTACATGCATTTGTTGCAAAGAGCTAGTATTCATGTAATAGTTTATTCTTACATATAAAGAATTTTGTTTGTCCAAGTCCATAAATATAATTCAGAAATACAGAATAAAAAAAGGAATGATTGGATAAGATGCAAGTATATCACATATAACAAATATAAACATGTCTATGACTTACAAGTCTTATAAAATATGTCTATCTCTAGAAAGGCAATTTCTTTCCTCACCTTGAGTAACTTCTCTTTTCTTTTCCGCCATTCTTCCCATTCATTGACAATCCTTCCCCATAAGATCCAGGTATCTTCTTCAAGATGGCTCAGATTGGATGATGCAGAAGAACTGGATACCAAGGATGACCCACTATTCCTTCGTGAGCCATTCATAGAGCGTAATGACTTTGAATCAGCTTCCAAAAGCCTTGAAAAATGTAAAATAAATATTAGTTGTCACTTTACCAGTTACATAACTAGGTTAGAATGCAACAAATGCTCTAGGGCATAATGAAACTTCCACGTAAACAAGCTTCTTCAAACATTTCAACTAAGAGGCATTATGACACTTGTAGAGATTAGGATTGCCAATCAACGTGTTGAAAATTCTCTTGTAATGTTGAATATTCATCAGAAACTCTTCCATCTCTGAAGAGGAATGGAAGGATACATGCATAAATTTGTAATTTATGCAAATTATTCTCTTTGAGGAGCAGGATAAAGAATATGACAGAACATGGCATACTTCTTAGTTATAAAAGAATTTTAATATATATTTAAAATCAAAGCTATAGAAAAACATTTCTATCTTTAGACTGCATTCTGGCTTTACTAGTCTAAGATGAATGGAAACAGTATTCTGTGACAAAACAAGAAAATTAAGAGTCCCACTTTTTTGCTTTATTGTTAGTTGATTAACTATCTTGGCTGTGGTATGTATTTATTTTTGGATATTTTTTTATTATTTTACTGTTTTTACTGTTTAGTTTGGATGGAGCTTGAGCAACACTAATATAATATATAAAATAAAATATTAATAAATAGGTAGTCATTCATCCATCCCCACTCCTTCCATGTCTGATTTAACATTTATGCTTTAACATCTATCTCATGGGAAATACAATAATTAATACAAGGAAAAACATTTAATTTCTTTGGAACAAGTATCATTTGATTTTGTGAATGAGAAGTAGTCAATCCTAACTAAAATATTACCAAATTGCACCTCTGGCTATCTTTTGATAGTCTGGAGGAATTGAAGCTGAACACGATAGAAAGCTCAAGGAGACTATAAAATGACTTTTAATCATTAATAAGAGTGTTCATTCTCTACAGAGATTGTTTAATATGATTAAAGTTAATCACGAAATGAAACTGCTGGTTATAAATGGGAGGGCTGACCTGATATATGTTACCAAAACTTAGCTGAACGTCAGTGGGTGGGTGAGTTCCCTCTCCAAAATATGTCATTCTAGGTTGCAGGTATAGCACCAACTATGATTCTAGAGATAGGCACAGCTATTGAGGCACAGCTATTAAATCTCTGGCAGCATACAAACGAAGTCCAGTTTTTGTTCCATAGCAGTGGTTATGTGATCTGCTATTGTGATATGATGTTATCAGGATCATGGATAGATCACTCCTGTCAGCCCCACTAATTAGCCCAGACTAAGAAAACAACTCCCTGGGAAGGCTAGAACTATTATTGAGACTGGCTATAATAATAGAACCTTCCAAGTCCACTGTTCCCTCTAAGGTGCGCGGCTGCGCGGCCGCGCA